GTGAGATGCAGGCCCCGTCACTCAGTCCTGGGGCCCATCCTCACCACACGGCCTCAGTGGTGGGTCAGACCCAGCGGCCCTGGGGACGGGCTCCTGGATGCCTTTCCACAGGGCCCAGAGTTTCCTCTGAGCCCTGGGCTAACAGCATGAAACACGGAGCAACCCTAGCCCCTGGGGGCCCAGAGCTCTGCTCCCTAGCGGGTGACAGGGCAGTCCAGTCTCTAGGGTCCAGTCAGTCCCTGTCTTCCATGCTGGGAGGGCTGGGAGCCAGGACTCCTGGGTTCTGTCCCTGGCTCTGGGAGGGGAGTGGGGGCTAGTGGGGAGAGCAAGGAGGATGGGGGCCAGGACTCCTGGGTTCTGTGCACAGCACCACCACTGACTTGCAGGGGACTGTGCAAGTCTCTACTATACACTGAGGTTTATAACCTTCAGCTCCGCCCATCACCCCCTAACTGATGTGTTGTCTGGGAAAGGCCCCTCCTGCTCTGCAGCTCCCCCTGGGGGCAGGCATCCCCCTCCCTCAGCCCCAAATCTCCTGTGGCTGCTGCTCTCCCCTGGCTGGGAACCCCCAGTAACTCCGTCCCCACTCCCCAGCCGGGCGTCCCCTCTGCTGGGCCCAGTCCCCACTGCCCAGCCTGGCTCTGAGCATCCCATCGGTGCAGAGACCCCATGGGGATCTGGCTGGGTGTGGGGCTGGGAGCCGGGCACTGAGCCGGGCCCCTCCCTCACCTCCTACAATGATCTTGACGGGGTCACTGGGATGCGATGAGCGACTCTGATCCGTTATGGAGCGATAGTCGCAGGTGTAGCTCCCTCCATCTTCCCGGCCGACACTGGGGATGGGAAATTCAGCCACGGTCCCATCAGGCACCGTCCGCACCTGCAGGTTCGGGTGTCCAGCTTTACGCAGAAAGAACTCCATGCCCGGGTACCAACCCTCACAGCGGATGGTGACGTTTCCCCCAAGCGCCACCACCCTGCTGGGGCTCACCGAGACGGTGGGTTTGAGAAATTCTCGCCCTGCTTTCAACAAGAGACAGGAGTTAAACAGGGGAGACACAGCCCCCTGCCTCCCTCCCCCCCCAGTGATGAGCTGGCAAAATCTTAACCACCG